CTTGCTGGATCAGCTTCTGAGTGGCCGAGGACCCGCGTGATCGCTTTGGCGCCGGCATTTCCGCGTTCACTTGCGCCGGATCCGGCTACGGCTTGAGCAATTTCACGTAGAACGCCGGGTGGGTACGCATCCGTTTTGTAAGGTTTAGTGTATACGCTAGGCCCCGCTTGGCCTCAAACTTAAACGGCCCGATGAACCGTGGACGAAGCTTCATCTTGAAGAAGGCAGAGGCTGCATATGTAGGCAGGTTTTTAGAATTTGATCTAACCAGGCCCCGACCTTAAAGCTCCCACTTTGCCTCTTCCTTTTCATCTGCATTTTTTTCTGCAGGTCCTGGCTTTCAGCCATCGTATCGCAAACGTGTCGTAGGAAACTCAGTCAGGTAGCCAAAAAGTCATCGACTTCATTGCGGATGATGAGGAGGCTGACATCAGCTAGCCGTTCGGCTATTCCTCCCCCAACAGCCCTGAGCCATGGGATGGCGGCGTCAGTGGGCCGCGAGAGTGAACCAGCCCGTTCACGTAGAGCGGCGTATAGCCGGAAGACGAATGCACTGCATTGTTCAGTGCAAACCCTACGAGTGGCAACATGGCGCTCCAACGCCTCGAAAAATGTCTTCGATGACACGATTTACCCTTTCGGTTTGTCCATCGGTCTGCGGATGATCAACACGAACTCTGGGAGTCCTTGTTGAGGAGAAACAAAATCCACCAACAGCGTTGCTGTACCAACTCCGTCGATGGTGTCTGGCACCGCCGCCAAATGCGCCATATTGCTCAACCGGTCGACGAATACCACGACACCCATGTTGCCCGCCGAATCTATCGGCAGGCCAAACACAAAGTCTAAACTCATGAACTGCCAGCACCCAGTGGGTTCCGGTCAGCTGGCCTGCGGCGCAGCCGTATTTGGAGAGGGTTTTACACGTTGACACGTCTCACACGTGCGCACATAGGTGATCGTTCATTTGTACAGCTTTGGCCACCAATAGTGGTGACTCACAGAGTTGTACGTTTTCTTACGACCGAGATGACCACTAACTGGCGTGTTGTGAGTCTCAAAGAGTATGCGATATTCAAATCCTCTCCATGAGGAACCACAATTCGTGACGTATCCGTTTAATCGGTGCTATAATATAGCAAACCGTTATTTAACGAATATTGGTGCAATCGTGCACGCAATCTTGATGAGAATTACTTGTCCAAGTTTCCAAACTCCTTGCTCCCTAGAGCCCGTAGCAACGCTACACCCATCCCATCACCCGCATACGCGGGGAGGATCAAATTTGTCACAGACGACGTTTCAGCTGTAACATGATCAAGCTCATAGTCTGGTCTGCGTGACAACGCATCAGCCAAAGCATTCAGCTTTCCCGGCTTATA